TAGAAATGCTATCAATATTTTGTCTTCCTGGCGTTCCAAAAGGTCTTTCTGTTTGGTTAAAAATATCTCCTGGAGGAAAAGGACCTCGAGGTGGTGGGTGAAGAGATGGATCAAGAATTGCCGGAGGAGGAATACTACGCTGAGGTGGCATTCCTAATGGAAATCTTGGTCCAGGTGAATGGGGCATTAGGCCTGGACGAATATCTATGAGAGGCATTCCCGGCATCCTTTGACTATTAATATTTAAATGAGGCATATTTTGAACTCCAGCTGGATGCTGCATTGCCAGAAGTCCAGAACTATTTGAAATATTTGGTGGTGGCACTCCAATAAGTCCAGAACTACTTGCAACACTGGGTGGTGGCATTAAGAGAAGCCCAGAGTTGCTTGAGACACTTGGTGGCTGTACTCCTGCCAGAACTCCTGAGCTGCTTGAGACACTGGGTGGCTGCATTCCTGTCAGAAGGCCAGGGCTGCTTGAGACACTGGGCGGATGCACTCCAGCTAGAAGCCCTGAGCTACTTGATACATTTGGTGGTGGCACTCCAGCCATAAGTCCAGAGCTGCTTGGGATGCTGGCTGGCTGAACTCCACCAGCAAGAGAAGAGCTACTGGAGACAGCAGGTAGCTGCACTCCTCCTCCCAGACCAGAACTGCTTGAAACAGTTGGTGGTTGCACTCCTCCTACAAGTCCAGAGTTGCTTGAAACACTGGGTGGCTGTACTCCCCCTGCAAGTCCAGAGCTACTTGAGACAATGGGTGGTTGCCCTTCTCCAGTAAGCCCAGAACTGCTTGAAACACTGGGTGGCTGCACTCCTCCAACAAGTCCAGAGCTACTCGAGACATCGCTTTGCACTAAAATGCAGCAACAAGAACAACAATTAACAGAAAATGCCAGAATAACACATCACATTGAAAACAAAATGCAGCTTAAACCATATTCAGTTAATGTATTCAGTGATGATACTGCTGACAAGGTCTGTCTCAGTTTCTATAATGAACATGCATCATTTTAATCACATTGGTGATAAACAGACATTACGCCACAGAAATAAACGTCTCTACATGACAAAGAGTGTACAGCAGCTTAAAATTTACAAACCTCACAGCCATTACCCAGAAATCCTAAAATGTTTGATGTAATTTAACAGATGTTATAAATGTTATCCTACCCTCTCCTGCTCCTTTCCATTGCCACTTGTGTGGCAAGAATGCACTTTTAAGAAGTTTTCTAAAGGGCTCCCAGGCTCAGCTTCGCTTCTCATGTTTATGAAAGAAACATCCCCAAACATAAGCTTCTGGAAATGAATGATCAGATGATGACAAAGATGGTTTACAGCACTTCTCCAACTTAAACTAAAAATGATACTGAGTCTAAAACTACCCTGTAGTTATTAGTGTTATGGACTACGATCTGCAAAAAACCCCTCAGAAGTATGATGTCTCCTGTATTCAAACATATCAGACCACAAAGACTTATCTTACCAGATCTATTGTTTTCACTGGAAGGAATCTGAAGGTCTGTAACATGTGATCCCTTTTCATCTGCTTCTGGTTTGTTGATAGGCAGAGGGTTAAAAACAGTTCCAGCAGATAACGTTGGAGTAGCTAAATTGCTAGTAACTGTACCAACTGGTAGAACAAGGCTAGTAAAGGGAACATCCTTCATTGTCTCTTGTGCAATTGGTAATGGAGGCTGTACTAAAGCTGCAGAGAGATAACAGAAGTGTATCACAGTAATCAAGACTAGTTTGACAAAGGTCAGGCTGAAAAATCAAAATAAGTGAAATTACCCTAAGTGTTAAGTTCTTTGATATAATTTCTTAACTTCAGTTAGTCCTGTAATATTTGAAATTGTTGTAGAGACCATGAACTGGAGGCAACCTAAGCAATAAGTACTCTTTAACAGATACTTTTAAACATGAAATTAATACCGTTAAAAGGCTAAATAAAAATAAATTATTCAGTGACTTATACCAAATAGCTCAAGTAACGGATACATCTGTTACAGACAGGTTTGAACATTGAACTATGCAGACAAATAATAAATAATATTTTTTCCCCAGTAACCCCACAGTATCATCTTTCAGTCAACTTGAAAAGCTCTGTAAATCTTTTTCTCAATACCTGCTTAAACTACCTAAACACTAACTTTCGCATTGCTATCTTCCATTACACAGGATTAACTTGTTTTTCATTCAGTATTTCAATGGTATTTCAAACAATTAAGCTTTTTGTAACATACAACCAACCATTAGAAGAATCAAACTTACGTGTTGGAACAACTGGTGGGACAACAGGTGGTGGGACAACAGGTGGTGGGACCACAGGTGGAACTGGGGGAGGCATATAACCTATATGGAAAAAAAATTACAAATTATTACAAGGGAAGCAAATAAAATCTGCAGTAAAAGCTTGCCTGCATTATTCATCCTGAAAACCCGCATCACTGAAGACTAGCAACCAACAAAGGTATGGGAAGAGGAACCAGCAGTTACTGTTTTCAGAAACAACCCCATATTTATGTACATGATCTAGATGTGATTCTTTAAAAGTTACTTTTCCCAGCAATATTCAAAGAAGAAAATAAAGAGTTTCACATTTTTCCAAATAAAGGAGATTAATCACAAGGATTTTATATTTACATTTTAATCAAAGTTAAAACAAAACATTCTGCCATTATTCCTATTCTCGACAGAACACGCTGGTAAAACCGGTATCAAGTTAGATGTAAGAAATTTCATACTGGATTAAAATTAAAGATTCAAAAGTCAACTAGCTCAAACAGTGAACAGCGGCTGATGGAAAACTATACAAAGCATCATGTACATCGAAGCACACAAATGAGTATACCTCTTAGATGCCCAACTTAATTCTTACTAACTTACCTGGAGGTGGTTGTGAAGGGTTGAAACTTGCCCGCAAGAAGGGAGGAGGAGGAATTGCGCTATAGCCAGGAGGAGGGACAGACATTGTGACAGGAAATGCAGGTGGAACCAAGCTAACAGCGGGCACAGCCGGAGCTACTGGAATCTTTTTTCATGAAAAAAGAAAACAAGCAACTTCAATACTTAACAGTATTCAACAACATTAGAAGAGGGATAAGCTGAGTTGACTGCAATTCACGTTAAACACTAAATATACCAAAGGCTTTGTATATATTCTGAACATCCTGAAGAATAAGATTGCATTCTGAAATGGCACTTCAGGTAAGCAAGGACATTGGAAGAATCCTATGCTATCTTTCCTTTATTTTAAAAGTAACACAAAAGTACACAGTTACTCAAGACTAAAAATTTACTTATAGGAGATAAGTGAATGCAGAAAGGGAGAGTGAGAGAAGCAAGGAAAATGTAGAAAGTGTGGCAATTTGAAAGCCGTTAGAAAACAGCGGTTCTATTCCTGTTAGAAAAATTTACATTTTTTAGAGTTTAGTGCGTGTAATTATAAAGCTAATAATCATCATGAAATCCTGTAAACTACTTCATATTTCTCAAACTTCTTTTTGAAAGTACAGCATAATTACAAGGAGCCAGCAGCAGAAATATATAGAAGTCTATTTAAATATATACCAATAATGGTGCACACAAGGAGACAGCTGAAATAAGAAGACTGACAACAATTTTTGTGATAAGAAAACAGCTCAAAATTCACTTCAAGTAAATGCAAATACACTAACTTTTCATAGTAATTTTATGTCAGCTTCAGTATTGGAAGTATCTATACATGCTAGTAAAGATAAAACAGTAATCATATGAATACAAAAATATTTGTGTTAAGCAACTGCTTCTCATTTTACAATTTCATATGGTGAATATAAAAAGGATTTAAAGAGTTTGACAAAAAGCATTTATACTTATACTTCAGGAACATGCAGTGCAGTATGCTCAATAAAAATTACACTGTATTCTTCTAGTCCTTCATAATACTTTGTTACTGTTGGATATTAATAAAAACTCTGGTTTAGCAGAAGGAAAAAAAGCTGAGAATCAGAGACTCATTAGTTAGTGCATATGGAAAGCAAGAGCACACTATCTGAATGATCAGCTCTTAAAGATGAGACAGTCCCTACAAAATTCTGCCTAAAATTAATGAGAAAATAATTACACTTATATTCAAAGTTCATATGGGGAAGAGAAGCAAACAAGCACAAGAGAAAAAGAGATTACTTCATTTCTTATCTTACAGAAAAATGTTTTACTCTTTAAGCAAAATATTTTCTGTAAGCTCATTTTAAATTCTCCTTTAAAAAGTGATGTGCCAGTGTTTAATTTTTTTACAGTTGTTCTATCTACAACATTTGAGACTTCATTTGAGATTGTACATTACTTTGGGATGTGCTGTGCATGAAACTAAACATTTTGCTCAACCACAGCAATTGATTGTACTCCAAAATATTCCAGAGATGAACACGAATGGATGCAGGACTACTACTGTAACTCAGCATTGAGATTTATCTGTATTGAATAAAAATTTGCCCTCCAGTTCTCTGGGGTTTTTTGCAAACTCCGGTCAATACAAACCTGCAGCATAGTGACTGGTTGTGTGTAAGCTTCTGTCTGTGTTGTAATAACTGTACTCTTATCAACTGCAGCACTTTGCGTAGTTTGAGTATTTTCTTTAGCTGATTCTGAGCTTCTGGCTGTTTCCCATTCTTTAAAAAAAAAAGATGTATTTTTAATATAAAAGATATTGAATGCGTTACTTTTGTTTAAATACTAAAAAGTCCTCTTTCTTCTTACACAATACATTTTAATCTGATATCTGCATGGATCCATTACAAATAACCCTGAAACTTATGAAAATAAGCTAGTACAATTATTTATTATATTTCAAAGAACGTCTCTATACAAACTGATTTTTCAAAACTTGTCAAGTTTTTTCACCAATCATTATGTTAATAATTTGTAATATAGAGTATGCTTCAGTTTTCTAAAGACTGTGTTCTGGCTACTCTACAATGATGGAGAATCCTCATGCTAAACAAACCTCAACCCAGCCCTCATTTCTTTTATCTGCCACTTCCTCAAAAAGTTTTGTATTTTGAGTATAACACAGTGAATGTATGTCAGTAATCTTCCATGTTTTATTTTTTATGTCATTTATACTCAATTTTTACTCAAAGCAAGACTGCAAGACTGAAGTCCAGCCCAGTCATTTAGTGCAAATCTGTTTCAAGAAAACACAGTATGTGTGAATCTTTCACAAACTCTCAATTAACTGTGGTTCAGAGAAAGGTCTGGTTGGAGTTGTTAAACCTGGAGAAGAGAAGGCTCCAGGAAGACCTTACAGCAGCCCTTCCAGTACCTGAAGGGGGCCTACAGGAAAGCTGTGGAGGGACTTTTTACCAGCGTATGTAGCGACAGGACAGGACAGATTTACACTGGATATTAGGAAGAATTCTTCATTGTGACCGTGGTAAGACACTGGAAAAAGGTTGCTCAAGGATGTTGTTGTGGATGTCCCCTCCCTGGAAGTGTTCAAGGCCAGACTGGACTGGACTTTGAGCAACCTGGTCTAGTGGAAGGTGTCCCTGCCCATGGCAAGGGGTTGGAACTAGATGATCTTCTAACCCTTCCAAACCAAACCGTTCTATGATCCTATTATCTCCTCTCCTGTCTCTTCAACTTCATGGAGGAAATACCTTACAGTTCAGCTAAGCTGTGCCTAGTTGGACAAGTTTCAACTCACAAATAACTTATACGTGAATATAAAACTTTTCACAATCACAGGCAGATGATAATTTCTACACAAATTAATATTTTGCATACTTGGCATGAGTGCACAACAAAAATATTTTAGAAATGCTAACATATATTAACTTAATTACCCTTTGTCTCTAATTTCCCATTGTTAAGATAATCAATTATTTACCTATAAATACAATCTAGATTTCATATTACAGGGCCATTTATATTGTATACAAGCAGCTAGTAAAATTTATGTGAATTGAAAAAGAGTATGTACCAAGTAAACAACAAACCTTTTGAGGATTTGCAATTACAAAATAAACACATCTTGTAACTATCTTGACTAACTGGTAATGCCCATACCTGTATTTACTGTCTCCTGGTCAATCATGCCACCTTCAGCAAAGCCATCCAAATCATCCAATTTTACTTTCTCCCAAGGAATATATGAAACTCCCAGATCCACATCCCAGAATTGCTTGTATTCTGTTTTCACACCTTTATTCAAAGCCCAGGCAATCTGGAAACAAAAGTCAACCACATAATCATATTAAATCATACAACTTGTGAACAGAATAGTTAAGATAATTTCCTTCATGTTTCCGTCACTGCAGATCAATCTTCGGCATGTACTTACTAAAGTCTTAAGGTTTTAATTTTAAATGAACCCATAGGAAGTTTACTTGGACTCTGCAAGTGGTATGTGCGAGATTAATTACATTAAAAAGCTTAAATTTGTTCTACATTAATTCTAACATATTTATGGGGAAATTAAAAATACAGTATTTCAAGGATTCATCCTAAAGGATCAAAAAAAGTAGAAAAAACAGCATTTATTCATATACTTAACTCTGTGAGAATACTATGAAACTTAATATTAAGTGATCCACACGGTCAGGTACAGTCCGTGTTTACACTCTTATACTCTTATCACTGGCACATACATAAAATGTTCTCCAAGTATTTCCTAAGTATCAGGTCGTAATTTCATTTTATTATCTTCATATTGCCTGTTAGAAGTTGCCTTTTATACAGAGAGGAAAGAAAACTATTTACACTTTATTGCTTCATTCTTCTTCTCCATATTGAATATTTGAATTAAATGCTTCTAAATGATAAACTACTATTTTAAAAAGGTACTGTGTTTGAAATGGACAGCATCCTTAGATTAAAATCATCTTACCTTAATAATTTTAGATCCAATTTTATAGGACCCAGAACTAAGTTTCTGAAGAGCACGATATGCATCTTGTCTATGAACCATACAGACATAAGCACAACCTCTTGGTGGAATCATCTATGGAAAAAAAAGCAATGGTCTTAAAAAGTAGGAAAACCAGTACTTCAGATCATATAACTACACTAAGTAAATACTCATACCAAAGAAGGAAAAGCTTACACTGTAAACAATTGCTACCATATTCAGCAATATTAACCATTTTGAGCATCACTTAAAGAGTGGTGTTTGCAGGGTACTTAAGTTACAACATTTTCAAGAACCAGCAGCAAAGTGAAGAATGGGTGCTAAAAACGAAAGATTTGAACAACATGGAGCAGGAAAGAACTGGGAGCTATACTATGACAACTTCAGAAAAGCAGAGGTTGTTATCTCTTCTTAAGCTCCAAATCCACTGTGAACTGACCAATGATCTTTCAGAGAGGTGCAAACCAGCGATGAAAAGGTATCTTGCATTCTTGAAAGGTACGAGTCCACATTGCTGGAGCATGATTTCCACTAACTTTGATGTTTAATTTAAGAAAGAAAAGTATACTATGTGGCATGACATCATTTAAAGTCTGCAAATCATGTATGACAACTGCTTGTTGGTGGTGTGCTTTTATATTGTTTAGGAGCACACACACTAACATAAAAAACAATAATACTTATGATGATAGATGTTAATGCAGTTCTTATAAAACTATGTTTAAGATACACAGCCATGTTACCCTAGGCACTAATGTGTGGAATGTGTAGGATGAACTATTTACAATACCGTTTGCTCCTGAAATGCAACAGGCACTGGGATGCTATGGTTGTTATACTACTTTCATTTGAACTTTCTTAATTGATACTCCCTGCAAATCAAAACGAGGCTTAAATATCAGGCTAGGGGGCTTTCTGACTTGTGAAGCTTTTTAAAGGATTCAGTAATGTTCCTTATTAATAATACATTTTAAGACATCAATGTAATAGGAAAAAAGGTAAAAATATTATCTGAAATTAATTAAATTGCATTAGAAGTACTTAAAAACTGCTGGAGCAAAAGACAAAAAAACCCTATATTTATCTTGTGCATGTATGCTATTTTAGACAAAAAATACTTTATCTTGAAGCTGAATTACAAGCAACATTTAATTATGACTCCAAACATGTAAAGCTAAATTACTCTAAATCATAAGAAATATATTGAATAACTATAAGCATCCTTTTGTCACATTTTATAATAAGCGCTTGTTTACAGTACAATTTCTTTTCTTCTAAATGTTTTATGCACATTGATTCCACTTAAGAAGCACTCGGTATGAAACATAACCAAGAACTATGTGTACACACATCAGATTTTGTCCATTAGTCCAAAGAAAAATAATACCTGTCCCATGCCATATCACAAAAAGACAAAAGATGTAACTTTGTATATGTTAAGACCCTGGTATATAAAAAAAAAACTGTTTAAGTTGTTAGTTGGGAAAAGCCATTTTACCATGAAATCTACTGTCTTTAGTGCTTCAAAAGACAGTACATGGAAACCAAGAAGCAAATATCATAGCCAGCTTTTAAAGAGGGATTAAAAAAAAAAAGGTCTCCTAAATACAAGCTTAAACTTCTAAAAGGAATTCAGAGGCAAAAGCTAGGTTGCTAGTCTGTAATCCCTAAAAATGCATTGCAACATGCTTACTTACATTAATTGACTCTATTTGTCCAAATTCTTCAAACAAGTTAGTTAAATCTTGCTGTGTAGCCTTCTTGTCTACTTGACCTACCCAAAGAGTAGTACTGCAAACTGTCAAGAGACACATTCATGTCAATCAAAATACTAGAATGTTAGCTTCTAAAACACTCTATAGCATGAACATAAAACGCTTTACAATTACACAAAAATCACTGACCAAGAAGTGAGAATAATAAATCTACTACTACAGAGAAATTAAGTACTTTAACAAAACGTTTAGGTGCTATAAGACATCAAACAGATGTTCAGTAACCGTGTTCATTCTTCTTGTTTCATTTTTGTTTAAACAAAATAGTTGTTTAAAATAAATGAATTCTGCAGATTATTAGCTAAGGCAAACTGCAGCAGAAATTACTTAGGGAAAACAAGATAATTTCTATTCTATATTCTATTTAAAAAAAAAATGCTTCTAGGATTTAAAGTCAGTTTTAATGAAGCAAGACTAAGTTCTCAGTGGCTAGAGCTATTTTACAGAAGGAACTTAACTGCAGTATTACGCATCACATGTTCACCCAAAGGAAATATAAACTATACTTTTCCTTTACCTTGGGGAACATCCCAAAAAGACAAACCTGGCTGAGGTCCACCACTGAAGTGAAAATGTCCATGATACTTCTTACTCTTGTAATTTCACCACAAGCCCAGATCACTGCAATCTGTCTCCAAAGTGCCTACCCCTGTTCCCCTCACCAAACAAACATTCACTGATATGAGCTAAACTTTCTTGTCCCATATGTACACAGTTCAAATTCTTTTGTCTCCCAGGAGATTAGGCCAAAATTGGTGGTTTTGCTCAAATATCTTACTGTCCAGACTAATCCTCACAGGATAATGCAAAACTACTTGAGAAACTGTGCATAACCTATCTAAACAAACTTAAATTTGGGAACACAAGTTCATTACAAAAATAAATTAAGTACAATTGTGCATTCCAAAAACCCCTTCCTGCAAGGTGCAGCAGTGGGAGACACTGATACAGTAGCAGATGACTACACCCAATTTCACTGTTTCTAGTGCTCATCTGAAAATACTTTCCCATTGATTTATGAAACTGTGTGAAGAACTTTCTTTTCCCTACTACATTCCCTCTTTTCAGTATGCAGCTTCTCTGTTGAAACAACAGCAGAACTCTGCAGAAGCGTAAATCCAGGGTTTTTTTGATACTTTCTTAAATTACAGCCATTATGGTCTGTCCTATGAGAGCAAATTTCTTGTTTCACATTTCCAGCCACTTTGGCTCTGTTTCTGTAAAAAGCTATTTAAAAGCACTCTAAAGTTTTAGCAAAACTAGCCTCTAAGATATTCAGCAGTGTGTCCAAAGTGTGTACCACATAAATGTCTTATCAGTGCATCAATTTTCAGATGAAGTATTTGTCATCTCCAAATGCCCTATAGAAGACAGCATTAAAGACAAAGCAGACTGTAACTTAAGAGAGATCCCTTCCTTCACTCTGTTCAGAAGTAAAATCACTGGTGCACCAGTAGGAATAAAATAATCAGTAGAACCGTATATGATACTTGATTTCCTCCAACATGAAACGATGTAACTAAGTTGTAAGAAACATCAGAAATTAAATTGATCAAAAAAGAATACGGTTACTGTGTTTTTGTAACAGCACTCAAGCTAAATCTTGTTCTTTCAATGAAAAACAAACTCTTTTCCCCCTATAATATTACATTAACACAGCAAGCAGCTGCCACTCACCACTTAGTGTTTTTGACCGTATAGGAGGCAGTCCCTTTTTCTGCCGTTCTTTTTCCCTTTCCCTAGCCCTTCTTTCACTAGAATATGATCGAGATGACTTTCTCTTCCTTTCTCTTGATCTTGATCGTGAACGTTTCCGGTGCTTACGCTTGCGAGAACCAGACCGTGATCTAGACCTTCGTTTTCTTGGTGACCTACAAAATACTTAATTTCAGTATGCTGAGTTAAAAATTAAATTTTAATTTAGTAGTCTTTTAACTATATACTTTAAGCATGATACAGACATTTCCATTACACTCACCTGAACTGCTTCAAGAAATAAACTTTATGTCATTAGTGTGAGGAATTGAAGATACACATTGAGTTTAAAACAAAAGACAATACCTATTTTTCTGGCATAGAAAAACTGTCCAGATGGTTAGTGTTAGTTATTTTTGTTACCTGAACAGGTCTTAAAAAAAAATAATTAAACAATAGATACGCAAAATGAACTGTCATAGACCAAGTCTGTACCTAACACACAAATATTAAAATTTTTTGCTATTGCCAAAAACTGATCATTACAATTAAAAATAAATAAATAAATATTGGAATTATAATAACAAATTACAACTTTGTTTCAGAAAACCCTCATTTAATTAATACAAGTTAATCATGAAACCTTGAACGAGATCTTGAACGTGTTCTTGATCTTGAACGAACAGCTGACTTCTTCTCCTCTTGTTCAAAAACTTCTTCAGCAACATCCTGTCCTTCATCTATATCCATGTCCTGAGGTCAGACATAACAGACATTCAATAACATATAATTATCATACTCACAAGATATATGACTATATGAAAGCATACATCTGTATTACTCATTTTGAAATCGTTTCAGTATGTTTTGCTTTCAGCTTCTGTTGAAATTTAAATGTAATAAAATCTAAATAGTTTTACCTGTTGTTGAATATCCATTGAATCATCTACATTTGTTTCTACTTCTAAAAACTGCTGTTGACTACTCCCTTGTGATGGTGATGCAGAGTGCTCTGAACCAAAATTTCCTTCTTGATTCTCCTCAGGGCTTGCCTAAATACCAAAAAATAATATACCATAAAAAGTCTCATAATTCAAAATGTTTACTGTGCCAAAATGTAATGAAATGCATTACATGAAACAATTGTTCAAATATATCTGAAAAACTATTTATCTTATTTTTCCACTTCCTATTAAAATGAAAGCTGAACTAAAGGTCATTCCATTTAATTCCCTTTTTTGGGTATTATCCTTAAATACAAAACTTTTAAACAATTAATATTCCTGACTATTGAAAAATTACTATGTACTGAATAAAAAACCTGTTTGTTGCTTAATTTGGCTGGCTTCAAAACTCCAAAGAAACAATAAGGATAACAGCCACATATATAGTGACATGCATCACTCATGAATGTGCATTCAACAAATGAATTTTGCAAATAATTAACAAAAATATTTGCAATACCAATTGGAATAGTTAAAAAAAACGGTCTTCTAATTCCAAACCTCCTCACAGTGTATGACTTAAAGCAAGTAATTATGACAAGATAAGGGAGGGTGTTGTGTCATTTGTCAGCATGTCAATTACAAAACACATAACAAAACAAGCAGTTCAGAAGTTACAACAAAATTGAAAAAGGTAAAACACTAAGTGCATTGTTGATTTGCTAGAGAAAAAAAATATAAAGGACAGTACATTGGACCAAAAGTACAAGTTTGGAATAAACATCTGTAAGATAGGAAAGAAATTCAATAATACAGGAAAGGAAAATACTCAAAAAATACTATCAGGACAATTTTGAAAAGTAATTTTAAACCTAAAAACCAATATTTCAGGTAAACATTTCAATGATTCCCATTACATTTTAATTTTCAGTATGCTAGATACTCTATCTGCAAGCAGAATGGTAGAAAGTTAGCAGAATGACATGTAGTACCAAGTTTGGGGGTTTTTTTACCTTCATATTTTTAAATAGTTTATAGTAAGTTTGTGTAAAAATCAAAATTATACTATAATTCAGTTAATGCATTTGGCTGCTAACATTATCTGTTTTGTCTCATTTTCCTTATTATTTCATTACTCTTCAGCAGTGTTTCTTTCTTTCTTTCTTACTGATGTTTAAATATGGAGTTAAAATCTTCCTCATAACATGTTGCAGTCATGACAGAGTAGTTCCAGTAGAGTTTGTATTTTTAGCTGCTATCAAGGTGAAAATACAATTTCCTCTCCATACTGACTAGAAAAGAAGCTGAGCAGACCTGAAGGGAAACAACTTTTGGACTTGGAATAGAAAATGAAATAATACAGGGTGAGTCATATAAACATTCTACCCATAACTGTCTGGTAACCTAATTTCATAGATGAAATTAATTTAAACTCTAACTCTGCTTATATTACAAGACAGTAGGACTTCAGCATTTTTGTGTTCAAATTTTAAGTACTTTTAGATACATCACATCAAACACTCCTAAAACCAATGCACTCTTCAAAGTCATGCACCTTTACATTTTTAGTATTTAAAGACAGAAATTGCTAGATATCCAACAACACAAAAAACTGTTTAGTCTGTAGCTATGTTGTACAAATTTGTTGCTGTACTTAAATGAGAAACAAAAATAAAAATAGTAAAATAAAGCAGCAGAATTAGAAAATAGTATCTAGTAAAAATTAAACTACTATTTTTCCAAATAATTAAAAAATCAGTCAAAAAATCAAACCTCAAATCATGCACTTGGTTGAAAGCTGAGCAACTGTACATTTGAGGAAGTTAAAATAAAATCTCAAACAGATGTTTGTGAAGTTTGTGATCCTTTAGATTTTCCTTCAATCTAAGATTTCTAATTTACTGTGAAACTAGATCCAAATACTTCACAGAAAGTCCACTTTATACCTGGCCGGTAAAAAGAATAAACTTTTGGATGTTTTCTGATGGGATCTGGAGGGGGGAAAGAGCAGCTAAATACTGAGGACTAAACTAAGAAGAAATAAGCCAATTTACTTCAAACAAAGAGTGGACCCAATTCACAATTAAGATGAAACTTCAAGAATCTGTTCTTACTCATTTATCAGAAAATTGAAAGTTATCCACAATCTCTGTTCTGCCCTCTTGATAGCTCTGCAGCAGCAGCTCACACGCTGCTCTACCTTCACAGACAGGAGTATAAGCACTTCAGTGCTCACTACCTTATTTCTGACAGCAGGGAAAATGTTTTTCTAGCCCATATAAAGAGCTTAACAACAAAAGCACAGTCTATAGGCTGGCTAAAGAATACTCTTCCTAAAAGAAATAAAATGCACACCCCACAACTTTGGTTGGCTTTTCTTGTTTTCTGTTTTAAGCACTTTCTTCTGCCTATTCCAGTTACCCTGCAAGCTTCAGATCAGCCAGTGACAGAGACTTTCATTATATGAAAAGTGTCAGTAACAAGACAATTGTTTTGTTCTGGACTATGACTTTTTATCAGTGGAGAACATAATTATTACAAAAGCCACAGGATGATGTTCTTACCTTTTGAGGCTGCTGTTGCTCTAGAAGCTGTTGTCTGAGATGTTCTAAATTTTGTTGCTGTAGCTGTTCAGCTAGTTGGTGAAACAGTGAGTTGTTCACAGATTCTGGTACTAAAGGCCTAAAATTAATTAATTTAAATGAAGAAAACCCACAAGTTTTTCTTTTGTTTCAAACAGTTGATAAACAGATCTTCACAACTGAGTTTCAAGTTTGACTAAAAATGTAAAAGAATTAGGACAATGTGACTAGTTTCATTTTCTGCTACCATCATTATCATATTAACACTATGAATATAACTAACAAAGCAAAGAATGTGCTAAATTCATGATGAAGCCAACAAAACTTCTGTCACAGAGACTTACATACAGTATTTTTAAAAAGTATATGTTTCATTAATTCAGTAAACTGTCTTTTCTCTTCCTACTGGTTTACTATACTTATGCTCTGAAAGAAACAACATTTTCATTACTATTTAATCCTAATGTTCAACAAGTGTTAGGCAAATTTCATTATTTACATAAGAAACATAGCTTGTTCTTACAGTTGGGAAGTGGGAGTTTCCTTTTTAGGCTCTTCATTTTGTTCAGGTTCTTCCCCAAAATCAAACCTGTCCATCAGCTTCTAGGGGAAAGCAAAACAGGCATTACTGAGCGCTCCTTTTGTGTCCCTTTATATATTTACTGTTCAAAGGAAAAATGCTCTTATTTCTCAATTTAAAAAAAAAAGAAAAAAGTCTGGCAAACAACCTGAGTAAAGTGTCATACTACTACTGCTACCAAACTCTTGAATGCATCAAATACAAAATCTTGTCCATGGCTTTCTTGAGCTCAGGCTGCTGTTAGTACAACCAAATGTTCTTCCCACAATAACAGTAAGTTCAGATGAAGGCTTAAATAAAGATTAATTTTATGTAATAGTACCTTTAATTATAAGAAATTACTATGAAAAGGCCAACTATTCTATCCTTTGGCAATTAGTAAACAGATTTGCTCATATTAAGAGAGGACCCACAGCTTGATTACTTTGCAAAGAATGACCGTATTTTCACACACACAGGTCACTTAGACAACCTGAATTCCTTCAAATATATTGCTGCTTGAAAACAGCTTCCTATATAGTTTGCAAAAAATCAAAGCTAGCCGTTATCATGCAAGAAAAATTAGCCTCCAAAGTTATCTGACAGTGAAAAACTTGGATGAACTTCCTGTTTTATCTATAAAGATGTCTATGCTGGAGTTCTGCTGAACTAAATTTTTTTTTTTTTTATTAATTTTTAAAGAGCCCAGAAGCATTTCAGGAGCATTTTCCTTTCTTGAGGACAAAACTAAAGGACAAGCATGAAAAAATACAACCGTTATTTGTCAGTGAGACTTTTTTCACTATTTATTGACTGAGCAGTGCTAGCAAACCTACATGCATGCATCTGTATGACTTGGAAGTTTTCTGAAAAGCAGTTAATGCTGCACTACAAACCACCAAAACTTCTTCTCAAACCTTAGTCTCAGAAGAAAAAAAACAAGAGGTTGAGAACAAAGGACAGTCATTTCAAAATACCAGGGCAAAACTGTCTCCAGTTACAAGCTGTGATGATTCAGTAGCTCATTTTGTCTCAGATGCTCTGTTTACTCTCAGTTACTGGAGTCCAGCACAACGAGCAAAGCAAAAGCTCACTAAGAGACTGATCAATCAAGAATTTTTAGAACTATTTTCCCAATGAAATAATCTAATACATATGAAAGCAGGATTGAATTTCTCTCTGAGATAACACAGCAGAAACACAGACCATGAAGCTTATGTGAGATTTGAATGCTAAAATCCAGAATAAGTTTCACCATATATATTTAGTCAATTTAAAGCAAGGTGGCCATTTATTTTTTTGTCCATATTATTAGAATATTTTCAAGTAAAACATTTGCAAAAATGCTGCTGCTCTGAAACAAACATATTTTAGAAAAAAAACCAGTCTCATCTTCAAAATAAATTTTAAATCATCATGTATCTTCCATCATGACAAAGTAGAAAGGAAGGTAACAAAATATGTACTATTTAATTCTCTGAGAAAAGGAACAAATGGATGGCAGTCAACAATTTATGTGATGCAAAAAAATGTAGTCAAACTGGGGCCAGAGAAAACCAAAGAACTACAGCCGAAATATAAAATGTGCAGAATTATTTTTGTTTAAATTTGCTTTAAACAATGTAGTAGCTATTAAAGGAAAAAATATATTGTAACTGAATACTCTATAAAATAAAGCAATAGAAATGAAGGTAAATGTTAGGATACCTAAAGTTAATCCATCCCATGAACACATATAAAAGTATAGAACTTTCCATGAATGCTACACCTGTAACTTTAGTTACCTAAGAAGAGACTATGTTCAGAAAAAGCAATGGGAATTCTTAAAGACATTGAAAAAGGTTCTTATTCCAAAGGAAACAAAATTATTTTTAAAGATCACGGTATTTTCTGTAGAAATTAAAATAAAAAGAATAGGACATAAATGTATAGGAAATTTTGATCAAAAATCTTTCTTTACCATAATACAAAGATACAGTCATGTAGAAAGGTCAAAAAACGTGCATATTTGATGTTGACAAAAGGAAGGATTTTTAATTTAAAACATATTAATTTGTGCAACTCATTACAAGATACTATGGAGACTAAAGAGCTTGAAAATAAAGGATTGGGAAAACTGCTGAATTTATTGGTAATTGGGATTTATTTATTTTTAAATATGGATAATCATCAGTATAATATGGATATTCATCAGAATATCCTGCACTATTTATATTTGCTATCCAAGTCACCTTCATTGTATAGAAGAATGAAAACTACACTTGGAATGAAAACTACACTTCACAGTTTTCTTTGGATCATGATGCTTACTGTTTATCATAAATGTTGTCTTTTTATTACATTTGACAACTCAGAACATTTGGCTTTCAGACACAGCATTCAACCATGTAAATATTTTTATATCTACATCATGGCCCCACCTTCCATTCTCTAAGCGCCATCACAAGTCTATTCATTATTTTCTGCAGAAACTACTCAGTATTTCCAATTATTGCTTTTAAGAATTGCTAGATTCTCTAATTTTGTTGCTGCAGTTTTTTTTAAGATATTCAGGATTGGTCACTGTACCTCAGGTAAGAATACTTCATCAATTTCCACTAGATGACAGTATCTCTTCTGCTCTCTTCATAAATCCTAGGATCACGGGACAGTCCAGGCTAAAACGGACCTCATCAGTCCAGCTTTCTGCCCACAGAAAGCTCAGCTGTGAGCTCAGTTAACACTACGCAGGGCTTTATCCAGCTGAGTCTTAGAAACATCTTAGTTTCCAACATCCAAGATTGCACAGTCTTTCCAAGCAATATATTCTGGTGCTTGACTGTGCTCATGGGAAGAAAATATTTTCTTGATATCCACCCTGACCCCTTTAATTTTCATTTCTGACCGTTGTCTTTAATCCTGCTGCTATGCCGTGCTGTGAGGACTCTAGCTTCACCTTCTTGCCAGCTTTCCTGTAGGTCCTGGGGAGGAGCGGGGGATGGCAGGGACAACTGCTATTAGGTCTCCCTGAAAGCTGCCTATGCTACAGGCTGAACCAGCTCCAAATATCCTGAGGGCAAGTGTTCCAGCCTGACCATTATGGTAGTCTTACATGAACTCCCTCTAATTTGTCAATGTCTTTTTTGTATGGGGGTGGCAAAACTGGGTGTGATGGTCTGATGTAGTCGGGAGTAGATGGGATGCCTGGGATGTCTGGATGGGATGTTAATTTCCATCCAAAAAGTGGCTAGACTCCTGTTCACACAGCCCAGGATGCTGTTGGCCCTAGTTGTTGCCAAAGCACTCTGCTGGCTCGTGTCCCATTGTTAAAAATACACTTGTAAACAACTTCTTTTCTTATAAAGACTAGAACCCCCGAGATTAAGCAACTGTATGTCTGGTACCCAAACAAAGGCTATTAACAATCTAGTGTTGCTGCTCACTGTTCTGACACCTTGGGTTTTGATACTTTTATCTCTAACGGTATCATCACCTGCAATTGAAGCATATTAATTTAAACATAAAACTATTGCAAGCTCTCTAAAATGCATGTAAGAACTCTAGTACTTCAATTCTGAAAGGTTACTAACGAAGATCTGTATTTGTTGCCAGGAAGGCAAAGCATTCCCAAATCTTTTCCTCTTAAAAAATGTAGTTTATAGTTCTTATTTGGGCAGCTATTTGGAATTTGTTACTAGTTATTAGATTGCTCTATGATGTGAAATTATGTGTGCTACATGTAAACAATCAAAAGTTCCACTGCAAAAGCTTACTCCTGATTCAAACTAAAACACTGATGTACATGCTTCCTATAAAAGTAACACTTTGTTTATGAAGACTGCCTTGTCTACTAAAAAATGTATACAATTAATTATATAATAAAATGGAAGTAAAGAGTCTAATAAATAGAATTATGTCATTGTCACTCATGGTCTTCAGCTATTGAGAAGCGGGATTCAGTTGGTAGATGATATTGGTGCTGACACACCATCAAGAAAAGCAAGGAAAACTATTATCCTCATTACTTATCATTGCAAAAATAAGATTGCCCATTAATACATATAAATTGTATGTACTCTTCTATAATACCTGGACGCAGAAATCCCAAACCTCAGAAAAAGGAGAAAAAAGGCATGGTAGTGTCAACATTATATTAAAAAAAAAAATTAAGATTACGTGCTATTTCTGTAAAGCACCCTAAATAGCCTTTGAGTAAAAGCTTCAATGGGCTAATAACACATACATTGTCAGTTCATTCACAGTTATGCTGCAGAACACTAAGTAAGGAATTTGAGATGTATTATAATCTAACACTGCTTGTATAATGCAGAACTGAGGTCAAGATCACATACTATAAACTCAACTTTTCCACAGCTTACAAGAACAAATCAACACTATGTACCTACTGAAAGCTTGCAAATTAGCACACTGATGCAAGAATTCCTTCCACAACAATTACCTTCCAAGTCCCAGAAATCACAATCATGTACATTCACTCTGCTGACAGCTTTCATGACAAGACTTTTGCATACTATTAGTGGCATAAACTAATTAAAGAGCATCAGACTGAACTCACTCAAGGTATATAAACATCTCATCAGAATGCCAATTCCTTCAATTTGCTCCAGTTAAGTTGTTCAACATTCAAAAGCACCACACCTGCGAGTACACCTGCGAGTACACCTTTCCATATAAATGCTGCAATTGAAATCTGCGGAATAAACCACAATACAGTGCCATATGCTTAATTACTTTTTTAATCTAAATATTAAGGCAGTCCCTATTAAGTGACGTAGTTTTTCCCTGTGATTATACCCCACCTCAGTTGATATTTACAGCTGTGATACAGCATGAGTACGGTCCATTTTTTTCCTGACTTATTTTTATAGTTGCATTACTTCCATGAGTAATGACAACTCTATTATTTCAGAGATTTGAGTTCAGCTGAACAAATTTTAGAAATATAAGATGAATGGTTCTCAAACTTTAAACTCAGAACTTGTCCAGTTCTGAGCAGTTAACTGCCTGAAAACGAATTTATCTCTGTTAGGAAAAAAATGGGGTTTTGGCTTTTCTGACTTTTTTATACTTACTATTTATTCACTCCAGGACAATTCTACATAGAGAATCTACTCACAAGCTGTTTCTTCCAAAGATAATGAAAAAAAGACTATTTATCTTTGAGTAGAAGTTGTTCTTTTCTTTATTCTATTGATACTATACTAATACTACAGCCAGCATGGATATTGCTACTTGGCATGAAACTAGTCTTCTTAAACTCTTACACTCTGTATTTTTTATTTTTTGTTAAAATAGGCACCTATGTTGCAACACACACATTTCTTTACCTACAGGGTTTGTTTGGTTTTTTTGCATTTGCAGAAAGCATCACATGACTAGCTTTAACTACCGTAGAACTTATTTCTTCACTTATTGCCACTAGGTGGCTTAGAGGAGTTTTCCTGGCTTTTATAATGTAAGTAAATTACATGTCCAACCATGTTTTACTCTTCTAGGAAAGCAGTGTATATAAATTTCTGCCTATTTCCCTTTCATTACCTTGTAAGGGATAACTTCATACCATAACTTCAGATCATAAACACAGGAAATGAGAATACAAGACATTCTCAATTCTGACCATTGTGTTACAAAGAGTGAAGAAAAACATATAATAATGGTTAACTTTGCTAAATCAAATACACTTTCATTCTTGATGATCCTTATGGGTACCTTCCAACTCAAGACACTCTATGAATTGCCATTTAGCCCTAATCTCATATAAAAACTAGTATTTTCATTTATAGTACTCTCTATACTTTTTTTCCTTAATTTTCAGGATAGAGCACATTATAGCATATTCATGTACTCTTAATATCTCTAAAGTTAAACCATAAAACCCAAAAGATGACTTTCACTTACAAATATTTAACAATAAATATTTCTTCAAATTTCTATTGTTCTACTTCTACCTTATTAAAAGAGACACTCTGTTCCAGTGGATTAAGTGTGTTAGCAGCAGCAGCTGCAGCTGTAAGTTGTGCTGTAAGGGCCTGTAACTGAACGACAAGACCAGCATCCAGGGCTTGAAGTAGCGATGGCTGAGGTTTTTGCTGTTGTATCTGCAGTGTCTGTATCAACTGCTGAAGCTAAAAGAGAAAAGATAACAAATGTATCACTCTATTTTATTTTATTTTTTAAAGAGCAAGAAACAAACCAGTCTATTCCGGTCCACCCTGTGTGTTGCTCTGAGTAGGAAGTAACCAAACTTAAAAAGCAGAGATGGAAGCCCTGGAGTGGGAAAATCCTGGATAGTCACTGCTCTAGCTCTTTTCACATTCTGGTTGGTCACATTTTTCTTATCCTGCCCTCTCCTATGTCTAGTCTCTCAATTTACTTGCAAGCATTCCCATCCACAAAATACAGTTTTATATGAAATCGAGGACTTTAGAGATTGTGGAAGGAGCACAGTGGCTTGGAGAAAAGGAAGAAAAGAAACAGCAGGAAGCAAATGTTCCAAGTTCAACTCCTAATGCTAGAGGTCTGCATGTACAGTTCCTGTGTATCCAGTTTGTATCCACACTTATGTTTAAGATAATATTTTCTCCATCTCAAAACCATTCTCTTCCTCACTTTACCATTTTGAGTTAACATCCAAAAGTTATTTCTTTGTGATCTGCTGTCTTTAAAACTCTCAATACCATCCTCATCTTCATAATCTTCCTCTTCTGCTTCACCCTTTTTTTCTTTTTGCTGAATACTCTCTAGGTAATAACCTTTAAAATTGCCTTAGTGACTTTCCATATATTTCCCACTCGTACTTTACTTCCCCTCCTTAAGGACTATTCCATTATCTTTTCTCTACAATTCACAAGGTATCCCACACACTCATTTAACTCTTTTTCAATTTATTTCAGTGTAAGCAGATGAAAATGCTCCCTCCACCTGACTTATGAACAATTACAGATGACTCTGCTCAGCTGAACACTGTAAAATAGTATCACTAAGTAAAGTTGTTATTGCCAACATCAGTGTTTTATAACAGTTCACTGGTGACTGCTTCTCACTCATATATGCATAGGATTTTTGTTTAGTGCAACAGCAGGCAAAACATCCTATTCCTCAGTCCAAATAAAAATCACAATGTCAAAGTTATGCTAGTGCCAGAGTTCTAGTTTAAACTGAAAAACAATCTACATTTTTACAGAAAGCCAACTCTGAGCATTCAGCTTAGGAGGCTGTGGGTTAAGAGGACAAGCAGTTAATGTGTGCTGCACATCAAGCCACCTTTTTGGAGTTTAGAAACTCCAAAAACACTTAGAAAATGAGGAATGCAGCCACTTCTAAGAGCTTATTTTTGAATGCTGTAAATAAAAACTATATTTAGCTGATGGAAAGATAAAGAAAATTATCAACACATAATGTACTTCCAGAATGAATGTATTGCTATTATGTAATTCTGAACAATGTTCAGCTTCTTGGGGCATACTGCAGTGAAATACGCTTAAACTGGCATTCTATTTCATACCTATATCCATGAAATCTTATGCTGCTCTTCAGTTAGTTATCTGCAGTACTATATGGAAATGCATCTATTACATGCCATCTTATCTGGTCACATTCTGCTCTTTTTTTTTTAAGGAACAAACAAAGTAACAGGAAATTTTAGTTCACCTGGAACTTAACTGGAATGTGCAACCTCATGGGATAGTCAACATGGATAACAGACACAAAACTAAGAGATAATCATAAAAGCAGTACTGTTTAAGCATACTCTCAAAACACAAAGTATCAAACAGCGCACAGTATAACTGTCTACAAAATATTTACCTGCTGGCCTTGAGGACTCTGTAAAATCTGTGCAACAGCAGCAAGAGTATCTGTATTAGCAATCTGAGACACCCAAGGATCAGGTAAACTCTGTACCACATTGGCTGGAGTAACTGGAGTCACAGGTGTTCCTAAAAAAGAGAAAATCCAGTATGTCAAAATATTTTAACATGCAGATTTAAAAACCGTGTTAGAGAAGACAAAAAGAACCAACAAACCCACACAAACAAACCCCCCTGCTATTATTAAATATTGAGAAAGGATTATATTAGCATCAGCTGAAATATTTTTCTGACATACAACGCACACAGAAATAACACATACTCATCAGTATTCCTCAAGTAGCAGGATTACTTTGTGTAAGTGCAGTTCACAGCTCTTTCTGCTATTGACTATGGGGACTACTAACAAAACCGCTGATGAATGCAAAATAAATAGGTTTCAAAGTAATACAAACCATTTAGTGGAAACAATATATATCAAATGATGAATATTAGCAATCTAGTCAGAACCATCTGCTAGTCCAGAACTTACTGGACTTGCACTTTATGCCCAGGAGGAACCTTAAGGATTCTACTCCAGATCTCAACCTGCAGCAGCTGGATTCATGAGGATTGCTTGTTTTATCATTTTTTCTCAAGAGGATCATGGAGAATAAATCAGCAACCTGACAATTAGTTTCAGGCAATAATTGAGAAGAGTCCTACATCCCTGCAAATACTTCTGCTTTTACCTCAAAAGTAGAGATATGGCAGTGAACACTAAACGTAAATTACTACATTACTGTTTTAAAAGACAATTTGCATCCAAGTTTAAAAAAATATTAAAGATATGACTTCAATAATATAAAGTAAACAAACTAATGGAAACAAAAAATAATGAGCTTAAAGATTAAAGTAAATCCAGTCCAATAGCTCCAACTTTCACATATCTACAGACACTAGTGAAAAAGAAGATCGATTTATCCACCTCACTGCTTTTCAGTATAGGATCAGCGAAGGATTGGACAAGTATGTGCCAAAAATCAACTTTTGTATGTATAATTGCCCCACCTTGAATGAAGAAATCTTTGCAAAGCAAAGAAAGATGAAAAGCCAGTTACCATCTACCTACATAAGGAAGGTGCTTAGAGCAGAAAAGTATGAAGTCTGCATATATAACAAAGTTAGCATTTGGTAACAGGACGTACTCCATGAACAGTTTATTAGCCCAAATGATTCTCCAGCATGATTCCTGGCCCATATATTTCAGATGTCAGGGAGAGGGAAGTACATCACTGGCTGCAGCTTGTATTGTGTTATTTTTCCCTCTGAAATAATTGTCTGTTGGCCAGCAAAAGTAAAGGAGCAGTGTCTGACATTATCCAGCAAACTCAATCCTACCGATGGCAAAAATACATATAGGTATTGTATTATCTTCTTCATTTCTCTCAGTTGTGGCACCAGTAATTAACAAAGATCGTAATAAGTGCTGTGTTGGGTTTTTAACTCTTTCAGTGATGTACTGTTTTGACTTCCAAGTGCAAAATAGGTCCTACTGCACTGCTACTCAACCTCAATAAATTTCTAATATAATTGGAAAGTAAACACAACAGGATGCCTCATTTTTGCTGTTGCCCTGATCTAGATGCTGACTATAATATATTTCTTTCTAGCATCCATCTGATTTGTCAGGAGGAAACCAGTTAATTTTTTCAGCATGTGAACAGCAAGCATACCAAAGTTGACAAAATGTTTTGATTCAAAGTGTGATGTTAAATCTATTTTTGTTTACCTGGTGTATTGTTGCTCATAGCAGCTGTAGTGGTGGGCAAGACTGGGGTCACAACAGGAGGAGGAATTACTGCTGCCATATC